ATATATATATATATATATATATATATATATATATATATATATATATTTTTTTTTTTTTTTTTTTTTTTTTTTTTTTTTTTTTTTCTTTTTTTTTTTTTCTTTTTTGTCATGTGTAATGTACATTTTATATGGCAGTAATAGGAGAATCCTTTATCTTTGTTTAGACTAAATATATATATATATATTTTTTCTCTCTCTCTCTCTTAGGTCCACCATCACCCAGCCTTAAAACTGAAGACACCCATTGCATATCAAAAAGACACAGACCTTAATGCCATCCCAATCATGAGGGAAGGAATGGGTAAGTGACTATTGAAACTGGTATACTAATATGTCAAGACAGAATATTTGTTCCAGATTTCTTTAGACCTTGTTAAAATTATTATTATTATTATTATTATTATTATTATTAAAGGAACTATAGTTTTGATTTATTATATAATTTTAACTCCTGTAAATTGCAAATTCTTTAGTTTGTCTGTCCCCCAAGCTATCAAAAAGCCACATTTTTAAGCTTCAACAAGGTAAATTTTAGTCACTGGTAATTGAGGAACTTCATTAACATAATAATGTTTATATTTGGGAGGTAAAAGCTTGCTAGATTTTGACAGGTGATGCATGCTTGTACTGAGTAGTAAGCAACAATAGGACTTCAGTGGTTGCCCTTTATTATTCAGATAAATGTTTCTAGCACATATTACAATACCAAGCAAAAGTTTGGTTACTGAACAAAAAAAAAGTAATCATGAGCTGAGAAAAAAATACTTATATTTTTTGTTTCCCAAATGGTGTGTTTAGGAATCTATATTTTTATATATGAATTTGTGCTGTGTATCCTTTATTTTTTGCATGTGTAATTTTTTTTTCTCACTCTCTATTTATACTTTTTTTAAAAGTAAGATTTCTTTTATGTTTATTGCTCTCTGCATATTCACATGTAGTGACATAATTATATTGATTAGTTGTTTCTTCAGTATTCTGAACTTTTTCCATTTCTTCCTACTGCCTAAGCTGTTTGTGAAAAGTGTGGTGCCATTGGAGTCAAGCATGCATTCTATGGCAAGGAGCGGAAATTCTGCAGCCTGGCATGCGTCAGAGGTCCACTGGCTCCCTCTCAACAAGTGGCAGAGAAAGAATTGGAGAAGGAGCCTTGTAATGAACTCGAGAAAAAAGTGATTCCAGTGCAGAAGGTATTTAAGATGATTTTTGTTTTTGTCATTGATAGTTGTATTATAGTCATACAGTTGATAATATTGGTATTATTGATTTTAGTGATATTATTGATGATATTAGTATCATATGCTAGTTTTGTTAATATTGATAATGATGGTATTATTGTCATTATCATCAACTTAATAATTATTGTTATTGTTATTATTGTTATTGATATTATTATTATTGTTATTATCATTACTAGTAATATTTTTATCATCATCACTATTATTAGTAGTATTCATTGTTATTATTATTATAATAATAATATTTTTTTATTATTATTATTATTATTTTTATTATTATTTTTGTTATTTTTATTGTTATTGTCTTTTTTATTATGAACACATTGTTGGCAGTATGGCATGTATATGCTTGCCATATCCATTGTGATTTGATTTGATTTATTTTGCCTATATGTTGATGGCTTCACAAGTTGAGGGTACTGTTTCCAGGGGGGGGGGGGGGGGTAGAGGATGTTTTTTGAGTTAGCTAGCCTGTTTTACATACACAAATGAGGAAACAACGAAATGACTGTTTGAGCCCAAACTTGGTTAATTTTTGGGAGGCACAAGGGCATAAGTGCCAATAGGTAAACTATGCATATAATTAGGGCTAGGTTCATCTGTATGAACTTGCAATCTTGCATATGGCATTTGATAATGACATTGCACATAGATATGAGTTCATGTATGTCCAAAGAACACTTGTATACCAATATCAGAAAAAAATAAATTAATTGATGTATGAAGAAATATTTTGTGAGATTTTTCTTCAAAAATGTGAGTTCTGTGTACATTTATACATGAAATATGCTTTTGATCAAGACTTCTTGGTAATATGCTGTAGTTTATGTAGGGGTCTATATGAAGCACTAATGTGAATAAATAAAGATATAAATGATAATTGTAATATTTCAGTTTGGATTCATTCTAACTGTCAGTACATTCCACCATCGGCAAATTTGTTTTGATATGAAATTTGTCATTTCAATTGTAAAGAGCTCTTCACTATGAAGGCCACTTCAATGATGGAATTTTGAGCTTCAGAAAAGTAGTGAAATATTGATTATTTTATGTTGAAGATGATAGTACACAATGATACCTACTCTAAAATATAAACTATATGGAGTTTTTAAATCTGTCTTATGCATTCGGTGATAGAAATTCAAAAATTGCAATATGAAATGGCCTTCCCATAGAGTTGATCAAACTGAAGAATATTTTTTAGGTAATTCAGGAAAAAATACAGCCCCTGGAATGTTCTGCCCACTTTTTTTTTTTTTTTTTTTTTTTTTTTTTTTTTTTTTTTTTTTTTTTTCCCCAACTTTTTCTAATGGGGGTGCCCTGTCAAAATTATATATAAGACAAAGCACAATTACATACTCCATTACATACAAAAAAAAACAAAAACAAATTATAACATTGAAACTGTTATCTTTTTATGTTCAAATGAGTGGAGCAAATTAGGCTTCGCTCGGGACAGTACCCTTAAAAGTCACCAAGGAGACAATTAATAATACTATCTGATCTCACTTGTTTACCCTTTTCCTTGATTTTTACAAATATTGATTTTTATTTCTTATTGATTGTAATATAATCACAGTGTCAAGAATAATGATATTAACAGCATTAGAAAAAATAAAATTCCCAAAAATTCAAGGACTGGGGATATCAAATGAAGCCAGGTTGGCTGACTAATTGACTCCTTGTTTACTAATAACCTGTTAAGCCATCTATGTTTAAACAAAGTTCACCAAACAAAACTACAGTGAACAGTGCATGTACCAATGAGTTATCTTCATATTACTATTACTGATCCTGCTAGTATAATTATTGTTATTCTTTATTGTTAGTAGTTGCATTATTACTATTATTTGTATTGTTATAGAAGTATAGTGTATAGTCTCATTAGGAGCATATTAAGGTCTGACTCAGCTCTTAACTGTGATTTCATCTGTCTTCCATGAGGAGCAGGTGATAGGCCAGCCAGCTGTTCCTGTGGAAACACCTCCATCTCCCAAGCCAGTCGTTCCAACCCCCCCTAAGCCGAGCCAGGTGGTGCAGCCCCAGTTGGTTGTTCCACCACCTGAACAGGTTTCATCTCAGTCATACCTACCTCCACCAGAGTCTACAATAGACCTAGATGGAAGCTTTTTGTGGGCTTCGTCGTATCTGGATGACCAAGACTTCCGTGCAGTTCCTGTTAGCTGTTTTAAACACGTGAGTAATGATTTCTATAGAGAAGTAAATATGAGATAGAAAAGGAGAGATAAAGGGAAAGTGCTGTTTAATTTGAATCATTTGCCCCTTTGTCTTTGTGAACTGAATTCACAGATGTCATGGAATTTCCACTTTTCAGGCACCAATGTCAGAATGTTGGGAGCAGATGGGAGCCGGGATGAAGGTGGAAGTATCCTGCAAAGAGGAAGCTGTAACAAAGGATGCATTCTGGGTGGCCACCGTTATTGCTGTTGCAGGTGATTTCAGTCAGCTTTGGTCCTCTTTGACTTTTCTCCTTTCCCTTACAGTTTGTTGAATTTGTCTGTCTTTCATTGTCTGTATTTAATTTTGTTTCATATTAAAGTATATTGAAAATTTTTTGTGCTGACATTGTATTTTGTAAGCTCTTCATTACTACTTCTTGCTGAAGATATTTCTTCTTGTGCAGATATAGCACTGTTTATTTTAGTTTATTTTCCAAAACATAAGGTGAAATATTTGAGGAGGCCAAAAAAATCAGAGCAATCCAAAATTTATCTGTAATTTTCAGGCTACAAAGCAAAACTTCGGTTTGAGGGCTTTGTAGATGACAGCTCAAAGGACTTCTGGGTGGACCTTTGTTCAGAAGAGGTACATCCTGTGGGTTGGTGTGCCACCCAAGGTCGCCCACTCATACCTCCCCGCTCCATCCAACATAAGTACCGTGACTGGAAAGAATTTCTAATGAGGCGGTTAACTGGGGCACGAACTCTCCCAACTAACTTCATCTCTCGTGTTGTTGAGAGCCAGAAGTCAAGATTTAGGTGAGCTGAGTTTGTAAATAGTAAGAGTAAGGAAGAATGGTAATGTTTACTAGAAATATATATAAATATAACTTAAACGTTCTGAAAATAATGCTGAAGAAAAGACAGTTCAGTTGTAAATTGGTTGTTAATAGTAGTCTCTCCCTTCTTCTTTGAGTTCATAGAATTTAATGCTCTTTGTTTTATGCATTATAGAATTTTACCTTGTAAATCTACAATAACTAATTTTCTAGGCCTGGACTTAATGTGGAGGTTGTAGACAAGAACAGAATAGCACAGATGAGAGTAGCGACGGTGACAGAGGTTGTTGGAAAGAGACTCCACCTGAAATACCATGGGGCGCCACCAGATGACAATGGTAATTATCAAAGAAATAATAATCCAAATGGTTTCTATAAGGGTATTATTTTACCTACTAAATAGTTATTGCAATGGCTAATGGAAGGAAGAATCTTGTAGTGAAGATATCGTTATTGATATCTCCAAACCATTATGATTGATTTTTTTATATATATTAGATAATTTTGTGGGAAGAACTGGATAGTTTCAATATATGAAAGCCCTTCTTTATCTTGCTTGTTTCATTGTCTTTTATAAGTTTCTATTGCTTGCAGTAGTTTTGATAAAAATACTTTTTTCTTCTTCTCAGGGTTTTGGTGCCATGAGGATGCCCCAATAATCCATCCTGTGGGCTGGTCGAGAGAAGTAGGGCATGAAATTGTTGCAAGTCAGTCATATCATGAGAAGTGCATACGCGGTACAT